GACACTACGCATCTATTAATGACACTACGCATCTAATAATGACACTACGCATCTATTGATGACACTACGCATCTATTGATGACTCTACGCATCTATTAATGACACTACGCATCTATTGATGACTCTACGCATCTAATAATGACACTACGCATCTATTAATGACACTACACATCTATTGATGACTCTACGCATCTATTAATGACACTACGCATCTATTAATGACACTACGCATCTATTGATGACTCTACGCATCTATTGATGACACTACGCATCTATTAATGACACTACGCATCTATTGATGACTCTACGCATCTATTAATGACACTACGCATCTATTAATGCCATTACGCATCTATTAATGCCACTACGCATCTATTTGTGACTCTACGCATCTATTAATGACACTACGCATCTATTGATGACTCTACGCATCTATTAATGACACTACAGATCTATTAATGACACTACGCGTCTATTGATAACACTACGCATCTATTGAGCATTTTGAAATAAAGTCGCTTATTATCTTCCATTATCACCTTCGCACAGGTGTTGACAAAGAACAAAATGTATTGATTGATAATCGTTTCAAATGATTTGCCAAACAAATATTATTGAAAATATTTAAGTATAAATAATTCGATGTTCACGGGTTTTGATAATCTGATTATTGTCAAAGCTAAGTCAACATTAAAAAGGATGCTGCAGAAAGAGGTGTCGACAAGACGTACTTCATAAGAAATCTGCATAGACATTGATGGTTCGACAATCATATTTGTAGCACATTGACCAGAAAGTGGTACTGTCAAGCTTTATTGACAAGCTGATTAGATTAAAGTGATTGATTCAAATTAGATATAATCAAAGGCTTTATGTTCGTACAATAAAAGAAACTGATTTGAAAGTGTTGGTGTAATTAAAACATCAGACAAAATACGCACGGGTAGCAGCTAGTGATGACTAGCTGCCTTCCCTCTAGTCTTACACTGCTAAATTAGGGACGGCTAGCGCAGATAGCCCTCGTGTAGCTTTGCGCGAAATTCAAAAAACAAAAACAAAACAAACTTATCAAAATACTTTACTTCATTTTTACAATGCTAGCCAATATTTATTACATTAGGGCATAGAGAAGGACGAAAAAAAAATGTCAATATATCCAAATGTTTAGCTGTGACATAGTATCATCAGATATGTTCATAAAATACACCACGGTCTTGAGATATATAATCCGATTGCATAGACGCTAAATCCATCTACATTCACTGTACAGGCTGATGAGTGTAGTGGAACATTAGCACACAATATACAATATCACATTCTCCTAATCTATGCCACGAAATATTTAACCAACACAATTGACCAACCAATCAGATAATGCTTTGCTTGGTTTTCTTTTCGGTATGGTTAAGGTCCAATCCATGTATAACTAGTCTTATGAAAAGTATTGACTCACTTCAGGTTTCAACAATCAACTGTAGTTTTAAACTCCGTCAACTCTCGTTCTGTCGGCTAGGCTGATGTCATAGAATGGCGACCAATGACGACTGGCATAGTTTTATTTGATTTCTTAAACACATGCCTTCATACCGTTTCATTAAGAGAAAGTGAATGTTGTCCAAAGTTCAGCTAATGCTTAGCTTACCACCCATTGTTTATTCGCCTTCCGACTTTGTACTACGAAACATTAGCTGGATGATGAAACTAAAACTATGACCATTATCACAACTGCAGTTTCAAGTAATATTAGCTCTCATCAGCGAAGATAGATAAAGTCATTCAATAAAAGTTTTATATAACTTAATATATTTTGAAGGACGGGTGTTTCTCCATTAAAAGAACTAATATGTTTATGTTTTTTCACATGCATCACGTTATGTAACATTTTATAAATAGATTCGATTCTCTTTTATAAGTTAACCTACGTCGAGAATGGATTATTAGCTAGCATGTCCTATTGCAAAACATAGCGTCGAAGGTTCGAACCGCGATTTTTAACTGTGAGATGTTATAACTGTAACAGTCGATTCTACTATTTGGGTTAGAGTTGTCGCACAAACGGTGGGAGCTACTGAAAGGTTGCCCTCCCTCTGGTGAGTCCCTCGGTGGGACAGCGATAACTCTTTGGACTTAAAACGCTAAAATCATGGTTTGATTCCCCTCGTTGGACACAGTAGATAGCCCATTGTGGCTTTGATATAACAAAACATACACGCGCACAAACACATACCCTCTGGTCAGTCCCTCGGTGGGACAGCGGTAAGTCTTCGGACTTACAACGCTAAAATCATGGTTTGATTCCCCTCGATGGACACAAAAGATAGCCCCTTGTGGCTTTGATATAACAAAACACACACCCTCTGGTCAGTAGTTTTAAATTAGGGATGGCTATTCCTGAAATTTCGACGTCTTTGAAGTGGTTGTTTAGCCAAGGTGCCATTGCAAGTGAAAACATCAAATGTCATATTGATTAGTTAATTAAATGCATAGTTAGAGAAGAACAATTTATCATTTCTACCTTGAAAAAAAGTAAGAATGTAACCATGTTGTGGAGTTTCGGGTTTAATGAGCTGTCTGTTTCTAGAATGGGACGAAATTTAAAGTATTATATTGAAATCTTATTCAGGCCAAAGTCAAAGTTGTCTTCCATGCACAGTGGTAGAGACTTGGGATGTGATATCCGGGGTACTCGGAAATGAAGCAATTTTGCTCGTGGTATAAAGTATATTACAAATAACTATATATCAATATATGGCTGAGGGTAGGAGATAGGCTATCAATGATATCGGTGGAGATGATACTATGTTTTGCGAGTATCAGTAGATATTAAAAGTTGTAGCATCTTTTTGTTGGTTAGCGCGGTCCTATGATGGAGTTCCTTATCTCTACGTAACAGTAGGCGTACTGGAACTTTGCTGTGTAATGTCATCATTTATACTGTGTAATAATGTATAAAGTAGCCCTGACTGCTAAACTACATACACATGAACAAAACAGTTCTCATTACCAACCCACAGAACGATGAACAAAGTAGTTCTTATTAACCAATCTACCTAACCATTAACAAAACAGTTCTCATTATCAATCTACCTAACCATGAACAAATCAGTTCTCATTACCAATCCACAGAACGATGAACAAAGTAGTTCTTATTAACCAATCTACCTAACCATTAACAAAACAGTTCTCATTACCAATCTACCTAACCATTAACAAATCAGCCCTCATTACCAACCCACAGAACAATGAACAAAGTAGTTCTTATTAACCAATATACCTAACCATTAACAAATCAGCCCTCATTACCAACCTACAGAACGATGAACAAAGTAGTTCTTATTAACCAATCTACCTAACCATTAACAAATCAGCCCTCATTACCAGTCCACCTAACCATTAACAAATCAGCCCTCATTACCAACCTACAGAACGATGAACAAAGTAGTTCTTATTAACCAATCTACCTAACCATTAACAAATCAGCCCTCATTACCAACCCACAGAACGATGAACAAAGTAGTTCTTATTAACCAATCTACCTAACCATGAACAGAATAATTCTCATTACCAACTTTTATGACCATGAACAAAGTAGTTGTTACTACCAACTACTTTGATAATGAGTACGATAGTAATAGAGACAAGTTAACAGTGCAAGATAAACATGACTGTAGCAACAGAGACAGGTTAACAATGCAACATAATTATGGCTAGCCACGTTGAAAATAAGTACGATAAAAACGGTGATAACATTAATAAAAATAATATTTTAACCACGTTGCTAAGGGACAAAATGACTATCCCGGTCTCAATGATAATAAATTAGACAAACAACATGATCACATTCGTAACTGAGAATATGAAAATCGGTACTAGCTGTTGAAGGTGATTAAAACCATTGTCGTCACAAAATGTGTTTTGTTGTTAAGCGTGTTATCTGTGTCAACCACGGGTATCAAAACCCTGATTTTAGCGTTATAAGCTTCCAAACTACCACTGAGCCACTTGGAGGGGGGGGGGGCATTAAATAATAAGCAAAAAAATACAAGAAAAAAAGAATCATCATAACAGCTTCTCTGAAAATATTTGTCAAATTTTGAACAATAAAAGTTCTGTTTCCAACAAAGATACATACACAGTGCTAGTCCAAAAAAAAAAAAGCAAGACAAGCTACTGATTGGGTCCTAGTGCTTTTAGGCGATTAGAATGTGGGATGTCTAATCCCTTAAAGTAACAGTTAGATATATAATACGAGCATTAACCCAACAGCAACAACAAAAATCGCTCTGCTTAGAGCTCACATTTCATGAGGTCGGCTCCGTACAGTTGAGTTAGACAGTGCAATGATTAGTGAATAGCAAATATGTTAGTGTTATTTGTTTACTACAGGGTGAAATTAGCAAGTTTTTTGATGCCTTAGCTCGCTGAATTATTTTTGTTGTCCTATACGTAAGAATGCGTGTTGACCTCATTCAACAAACAGGCCGATGGCGAAGTTTAATTGCGTGTAAAAGGGCCGCAGTGGCGCGAAAGGGGCACACCAGTAATTGCCAAAGAGGATTGGTTAAGTGAAGTAGAGGCACCGCTCGCAGCTAACTTAAGCCAATGCTGACACAACATGACCGCGAACTAGGCACGTGAAACCCCGGAAGCTGTAATTGGCCATCCCGCTGAGTTAGAGGCGGCCTTTTGCTGTGCAACTCTGGCCTTCCATAGTCTTCTGCTGTCGGACACACCTATGGTGTCAGTTTCTGGTGTTATCTCTTTCGTAGCAGGTACAAGACACCCTCTGTGGAGCTGGGAGTGTCATCACAGTGGGGGAACCAATTGTCTCGGTGACGCTACACTTTATGATTCACGTAGTCAGTGTTATTGGTGTCGTCGACGCCTGTGGTTTTGTCGCGGCAGGTCTTATCATTTTCATCTTATCTTAGTGGTATTAGTACAGTATTTCAAGTAGCCAAGCGGTTCTGTAAAATGAAGTAATCATGGTTATCGAAGAAAGTGACCACCTGTTTGGACAAAAGTACTGGTTTACCCCCAAATAAAATTGCTTCGGTCGGTTTCCAAAAAAATTATAACACATGATCAATATTAAAGTGCCCTATTGTGTGTGAACTGATAATATAAAAGGTCGTTTTTACAGAACAAAACGGTTACTTGTTTTTTCTTAATAATAATACAAAATGACCCTTCTGGCAAAGTCTTGATCCCTTGAAGCAACTGAATGAATATCGTTTTGACGTGTAACAGAGATATGCAGACGAGAGTAATTAAGATCTGCCTTGTTTCACTGCTACTTATATCCCACGTGGTTGCTCTTCAGTGGTTGTAAGTATACTTTCGGATCGCATATTGTTATGCTTTTGCTGTTGGTTGAATAACTCTGAATGTAGCTCATTGGTGAGTTAAGATAACACGTTTTACTAAACTTCTGATTATTTAGGCATATCTCTAGACATTAGTACTATAGGTTAAATGTAGATTAAAAATGGATAAAATAGTTGTCGGTTCGTTTAGTCTCAACTGTTTTATTATTAAATATAAATCTATATAGAGGCGAATATTGATTTTTTTTTCATTATGAAACTAAGTTGACTTGTAATTAAACGGATGAATAACGCTGGGAGCCAACCCTTGAAAAAAAAAGGCAGAGAATTAATTCCCAACTGAATTTATATCCAAAATGGCCAAAATGTGGTTACATGTGCGCCGCAGCAGGTTCAACAGACAGGGCAGTAGCCGGACCAACATTTTGTCACAGTAACTGTAGGGCTTTTTAAACTTTAATTTGCTACTTCAAATATTGTTTCTAGTTAAATAGATAGACTTATAGTAGTATGTATGAATCAGAATAACAATGTATAATAAATTACACGTGTAACCTGCAAGAGTACATGCTTGTGCTTGTTTATAGCTATGTTGAGTGCAAGTGTCAGTGAGCACTTTATTTTTGTGAATCATAAAGAAATGCTTGCAAATCATTAATACTTTCAATATATTATAGTAAAATTAGTACAAAATTCAATCTCAGAGCACCTATTTTTCAAAGTTTTACACGCCAAAGTGTGCTTTGCACATTATTCTGAGTTGCCTGACCAATTCAAAAATGCTTCCTCCACCCCTGGGATATACCAAAAAATGCCCAAAATATTTTTTGTACAACATAATATATTGTAAACTCAATAATTATGAATTACGTCTTAAGAATTTTAGGATTAACAAATTGATAATAGAAAAAAAATCATTTGAAGCAAATTAAGTATTTGAACTAATAAATTTAATTTTCCAATAATTCTATGCGTATGAACTCTATCATTTTGGTGAGTGTAATGTTGTTTATTTCTATACATATCATGTATGCGCGTCTGTTTATATGGTTTATATGTAATATGTGTTTGTTTAATGTACCCCTTTTACCAGTAGCAGTCAAATTAAAATTTCTGCATACAGCCCTGATGTCAGGGGATCTTGCTGAAGCAGAACTAAGAGTCATGACAGGTAAAATATTTTTAATTTTTCAAATTCGTTAATCAGAGGTTGAAAGCAAAGAATTACAGTTATGATCCCCCCCCCCCCCTGCTATTTATCTATTGAGAGGTGTCTCGTAAATAAAGACCGAAGACGAAAAAAGCCTTATGGCAGAGTTCGCTCACAGTTCCTAGTAGGGGGTGGGGGGTGGGGGATTCTGAAAGAATATTCATAGAAATAATGACCACGAAAATTATGTAATGAAAGAACTGAGTGTCACTATTGTAACACACCCACAGCCCCAAATTAAGGAGTGTTTTAGAGGTTACAGGACGTGAGCCATGAATCCTAGAATTCAGAGGTCGGGGCAACGCCCAACCCTGTGGTGTGAGATATTTGAGCATATTTATCACGTTTTTTCAACTCGTAAGTAAATTTTTCTAATAATTAATACAAACGAAAAGTTTCAAGAAACGTGCACTCGTTACATAACACTTATATATTTATGACTAGTCCGATATCATTATATGAACGTTTATATACTTAATGCTTTATTAATAAGAATAATGAAGAGATAAAATGTGGTTTTTGAATGGCATAAAAGCGACTTAGACATCCTAAATTCACTAAGCACGGTAATGCTTAGTATGTTGGGATGGGCAGAGAAAAAAATGGCTGCCGCAATCAATCTATTACTACTCTATGAGGCTTACAAATAACTGTTAAAGTTGAGGTATAGCATTATTTGAGCACCTAATTGCCATTATATGGCGTTTCACAGCTTGTGAGACTCCCAATACCATTAAAAAGTGTTGCTAAAGTGGAGAACTGGAAACTAGCTTAAGAGCCAAAGTGTTCATCTTTCTTTTTTTTTCTTTTCCCATGCTAGCCATAAAATAGGGGAAGTTTTCACGACGGCTTCAGTACGACAGAAAAAAAAGAGTACTTGGGAAGAGGCTATCACTAAGTACGATAGTGCTTAGTATAAGATTTTAAAAAATCATAATTCTAATGTAAACGATGTTATCATTACCCGCTGAAGGTAGCTTTCTTACAAAAACCTTGTGTTCCTTTAAAAATCTTAAATACAGGGTGAAACAGGAATTACAAGCCAATAATATATGAACATTAAATGACTGTAACATGTATGATACTCAGTGCTTTGTACACTATACAAGTGATGTCTTTAGGGAGCCAACTCCTATATTATGTATGAAATGAAAGAGGAAAAAAATCAATACACATAATATTAAAATTTATTACACACATTCGTAGAATACACTAACTTTCATTCAGGTTAGAAAACGTCACAAAACAAATAATATAAAACATTTTTTAAATAAAACGATGTAGGATGGCAGTGCCAAATATAATGCAAATATGAATATAGGGATGATACAGTTCTACATTTTTCGTATGTTCTTTTCTTATTTTATTCTCCTCAACAATAAATCCCATGAAGTCAAGATTATGACCAGTGATGATTAATAATCCATTGTAGTCAATTGTATGATATAATATCAATATTTGAGGTCATTCTACAAGTGCAACGAAGAATGTTTGTTTGTTTTTTGAATTTCGCGCAAAGCTACACGAGGGCTATCTGCGCTAGCCGTCCCTAATTTAGCAGTGGAAGGCAGCTAGTCATCACCACCCACCGCCAACTCTTTTACCAACGAATAGTGGGATTGACCGTCACATTATAA